TAAGTCTATTTCTGCTGTATGTTTAATAAAAACTACCTGCTATGCCACCAAGACAACAATTAGGTCACTCATAAAATATCAAAGATAATAGCTTGAAAAGATGTTGAGAAGTGAAAGAGTTATGATGATGGTGAATTCTTTTCTAACTTTTTTTTTTGTAAAAATATTTAAATTTCTTTTTGAATAAAAAATTAGTTTTTTCAAATTACAGTTATATTTCTCCAGAAGATCATCAAGGTGCACATATTTTTTTAACAACAACAAAAACTAGGGGAAAAACTATAATTTAAAAAAATAGGCCAATTAACCTGGCCAGGTAGCTCAGTCAGTTGGAATATCATCCCATAAACCAAAAGGTCAAGTGTTTAATTCCCAGTCAGGACACATACCCAAGTTAAGGGTTCAATCCCTGGTTGGGGTGAGTAGGGGAGGCAACCAGTCAATGTTCATCAATGATTCTCTCTCTCCCTCTCAAATCAATAAAATAAACAAACAAACAAATGTGTCCTCGGATGATGATTACCAAAAATGGCCAATTAAAGGGTGTTCTCTGGAAAATAAATTTTGAAAATGTTTGGTGACTATTTATTATTATTAGTTTTTCCTAGGAGCCCTGATCTCTAGTTTCTGACAATATTTTAACTTTACCATAGATTTAATAAATTGCTCCATATTTTTAACAAAATATATTTTTCTTACAAAGTACAGTATGTTTAAGTCACTTAAAATGACTTTAAATATTAAAAGATAATAAAAATTAAAAGCCATTATAAAATAACTCTACATAAATTAAATAGAAAAATAGTGCTCTCCTAAACTTGATGGTTAGTTATCTATCAAATTATCAACTTAAGATTATAAAAAACTTTCAGCCCATCATTCCAGTTTCATGGATGCTAACATTTTCTCAAAGAACATCAACAGTGTGATGAAGGCCAGAGGGAAGGGGGGTTGGGAACTGGGTGCAGATGGGCAAATGGTGAGTGGGGGGATGTGGGAGGATGGGGATATCTGTAATAGAGTCAATAATAAAAATAAAGTAATTAATTAATTAAATAAATAAGTCCATTCAAGACATGAAGAGTTCAGGGGAAAGATAAATTTGAGATTCAGAAAACTTAAATAATGTTGGCTAATAAACCTT